GTCAGTGCTTTGACACTACTAATTTGGCTTGATTCACACAGTGTTATTTTGTATTTCATGTTTATTTAGCATGATATAGGTGTACAATATTTTTATATTCAAATTCCATTTAAATTACCTTCTGGTAGAATGAGGGAACTATAAATGACTTAGTGATATCATTAAAATAGAAGAAGCTGAATTTCTCTCCACTCCACTTTGGTTTGTTTATTTTCCAGGTACAAAATCGGTGCATTAAACATTGCAGAGGCTTCACAGAACCATTTAACTTTTTTTCACAATCACCCCCAAAAAACAAAAAACACAACCTTACACAGCTGAAAATCATCGGTGGATTGCAGTTGAGTTTCCCTTTGGGGGCATTTTGAGGATGCAGAGTGGGGCTGGAGACTGCGTGTATCCCATAAAGTTGGGTCACTGTTGTTTGTCCCATGAATTCTGGCCTATTGATACATGACAGCAGCTTATGAAATCATTGAGAAAACAGTACTTCAGGGTTCTGTGCTTTTTTTCTCCCTTGATGTCATACTTTTAAGTTTAAGGGGCATTAAAGCAGGGGTGTCAAATTCGCAATGTCACGTGACGTGTAGTGACGCAACTTTTTTTTCCATTGCTGGCAATGGGTTTTTTTCCCTGCATTAAAGGTTACTACTTTACATTTGGACTTACAAACCAGAAATCTTGGGCTTGTTTTGTTATTTAATTTACAATTAGATCCTTTATTTCTCTGTGATATGAAGAATCTGCAATGGGCTCTGATTTATTAAATGTATATGGTTACCTATGGGTTCTTGGAATTTGATAGAAATTCAGAGCTAAATATAATTCTAGATTGCTATTGTTCAGCATTTATTTTCAATTCCCAAGATATATTGCTTAGCAGAACTAGTACTTTTATTTGGGGCTATTTGTTTTTATATGCAAAGTTTGGGTTTTCCAGCCTTTGTTAGAATTAATGAAGGACTTGCAGATACAGGCAAAAATGTATTCTCTGTGTCAGTCTGGCATATGGCTTTTCTCTGCTAAAACCTTTGATCTTCCATCATTTTCAAACCCCCTCCCAATACTATTTATATCGGGTAGGCAAGTCCCACCATGCATCCTCACATTTGTCTTTGGCAGAGTTCCCCAGGCTTGTCGTCCTCTTCTTTGTGGACACAGGGGCATTCTCCATCTAGTAAGCTTTCAGCAGTATAAATACTGTTGCATCCAATTCAGTATTTCTGGTGCCAATGTATTTCTGGTGATGTAAGATTCTATCCTTAATGGCAGTCCAGCATCTGAGGCTTCTCCCCTTTCCTGTAGGAAACATCCTCTACTTCTTATATTCCTAATCTTAGTTTGTGTTATCAATTAGCTAGCATTTCTTTGGATGGGTATGTGAGGAGCAAGCAAGAAGCCATAGGTAAATACAGACCGTCACAGACTACCTATCATATACATATACTGTATATACATACATATATATATATATACTCATACATACATACATACATACATACATACATACATACATACATACATACGTATGTGTGTGTGTGTATATGTGTGTATATATATGTATGTATATGTGTGTGTATACACACACACACACACACACACATATCAAGAGAATTTTCCAATTGTCCTAATCCATATTTGTTAAAAGGCCCTTATGGTTAAAAGCATCACTTTCAACAGGGTCCACAAATTTACTTGGAGCCTATGCAGCTAGTAAAGCATCAGCATATGTGTTTGAAGCAATTCCAATGCTTAATTTTGGAGCTTTACCTCTTTCTGTGAGGGAGATGGGTGGTTTAAAAATGTCTGTGTGGTGATGGTGGTGTGTGTGTGTGTGTGAGAGAGAGAGAGAGAGAGAGAGAGAGATCTTGAAACCACAGCAGTTTTTAAATCTTTCTAAAGGCAATCCTGTGTACAGTACATAGTAGTCTTTCAAAAGTGAAGTTATAAGAATGTGGATAACTGGTTAAGACATCTCTGTACAGGTGTGGTTGCAGCTGCACATCAGCTAAAGTTCATAAAGGATGCTTCTAACCACAGAAGCTGTTGGAGTCTTTCTTTAATAGTAATGTTGTATCCTTAAGAGTCACTAAATTACAATGGTGCTTAAAGGTTTGTGAATTTATTGACTCCTTTTTTTTAATTAGGTTCTCTTTGGGTACATGTGTGTTGATTGGGCACCCTTTCTGGTAGAGAGAAGTTCCCCGAGGATGGGCTCCAACATGAGTCCAAAAGCTCGGAATACTAAACCTAGATTGGTCACTGGAACCAGAGATTTAGTATTCCGAGCTTGGAATTGATTGGGACATTATCCTGGGACACATATATTTGCCTTCATTTGTGGGTTCTCTTCATCTAGTTTTAAGACTTGTATGGAAAACAAATCACGTTTTAGGTGATATTTAGCAATACACAACTAATGTATGCCTGCACTAGGCTCTCCCCATTCCTGAGGCACCCCAAATTCCACTTAACAACCTGCATATTTGTTTAACAAAGGCATCGGGCAGAGCAAGGATGGGGACCCATTAACGCCCTTTCAACTGGAATGAGCAGGCTCCATTATGCTTGTAACTTGATTACCTTCTTTTTCTAATAGTGCACTGTTCCTAAATTATATGGATGCACATGTATCTTTTGCAGAATCGGGGAGGAAAACATTAAATCATGCCTTTGCTGTTAGATGATGTTTAAAAAGAAGGCTGCAATCTATACAATGCACCCATATCCTTATTGGGCATGTGTGATCACACAAACAATGATCAGCTAAAGTAATTTTGTTGATTGGAGCTCAAATGTATATGGGAAATACATTAATTTAGCAGGTGCATTGTTTAATAAAGTATAATTATTCAAGGCTTGAAAATAAGGGAGGGAGGGAGGGAGGAAAGTTCTTTCTTTTCCTTGAATAGGAAATACATTCAAATAAAGACCAGATGATGGCTTAAATTATTGTTTCTTTGTGTGTAAATAGCCAATTACATTTTATCACCTTAGTAATTTCATTGATAAAATAGTAATCTCATTAATGAAATCACCTGTAAATCCCTACAGGGCATAGGACAAAGTTATTGTGAAACCTGTCTCCCATGGTTTCTACCCAGCTGGTAGGATGTTCACAGAGTTAGCCCACTCTGGTTCTCTTGAATTAAAGAATATCATCTATTGCAAGGCTTTTCAATCAGTGCTACGGGTACTACCTGTGGTACATTGGCACCTGGCAGGTGGTATGCGACCATCCTAGAAAAGTGGTAGCAGGGGAGAGGAATGAGCTGAACCAGTGGCAGCACCACACAAGCCTGAGCGAGAGACGGCTGGAGCTGCAGGGCTGTCAGGGCTCAGCGGAAGCGCCAGGATCAGTGCCAGGCTCCAGCTGGAGCTCGGCGCTGATCCTGGCGCTTCTGCTGAGCCCAGAAGAAGCGCCCATCAGCTGGAATGTTGCAGCATCTCCAGGGTCTTGTGATTTACATTCAGATGCTTGGCAACTGATTCATATTTATGGCGGTCACAGTGTCCCAGGGTCATGTGAAGTGACCAAAACCTGCTGCAACCACCCAGCAGACGGGGGGGGGATAAAAACCAAACACCCCCCACCCCACCCCTGCTGCCAATCCTCAACAGAAATGCTCACAACAATGAAAACCTCGGACAGGAGGAAGAGCGCCGCTGGGTGAGCAGGCAGGTGTCTTGCTCGGCTGTGGCTTGGGGGGCACTTTTTTCAGTGCCATTATAACTTTGAACAGTCACTAAGCGAACTGTTGTAAGTCGAGGACTATCTGTACTTCATCACTTTTTTCCTTTTTTTTTTTTTGGTCATCAAGTTTTTGACACCTTGTTAGGCGACTGGTGGTACTCGGATATTGCCATATCCTAAAAGTGGTACAATGGGTGATAAGGTTGAAAAGCCCTGATCTATTGGGACCCAAGGAGCATAACCTTCTCTGTCACAGTGGGTGCCCTTTGAAATGAGCTACCCCGTGAAATCTATATGCTCCCACCCCTTTGGACTTCAAAGCCTTGGTGTGATTTGGAAGGGGGGCCCTGTTGGGTGTGTCTCTGGCTTTTTTATGTTTGCTTGCATGTTGTGCCTGGATCTCACCTTGGTTCTGTTATAGTTTGGGTTTTAATGTTACTATTTGAGGACTCGCATAGGGTCAGATGGGTTTGGTAGTGCCTAAATTGAATTGAATAAATAAATAAAAATTGAAGCCTTCTAGAAGAACTCTATCTGGGGAGAAAGTACTTTCTCCCATTAGTAGAGTGATATTTCTCTACGATTGAACCTTGGATGATTGAAGGAAGCATCTTCCTGATTGGTTCTTTTTGGACAACTGTGTATGGACAACTGTTTTACCAGAAGTGCTAGAAGAATTCATGAAACAGTTTCTGCTTCATAATACTGAAGAAAAGTGGAAGAAAATAAAATTAATGTTTTAAATATGTAGAACATAATTTAGAGTGCTTTAGCTAGAAATATTACACTATGGTTATTGAAGAAAGCCAGTTTGGTGTCATGGTTAAAACAACTAGACTAGAAATCAAGACACTTGTGTGTTGTAGTCCTGCCTTAGGCACAGTGCCAGCTGTGTGACTTAGGGCAGTTCTATTCTCTCAGCCCTAGAAAGAAGGCCAAGACAAACCACTTCTGAAAAATTTGCCAAGAAAACTGCAAGGACTTGTCCAGGCAGTTGTTTGAAGTCAAGATTGAGTCAAAAAAAAACAAAAAAGTTATTATATTTTTATTCTGTTTATTCAATGCACTCTTGCTTCTGTAGAAAAAAATTAACACAAAAGGAACAGCTTTGTTCCATGATTAGCATTATTACTGATTCATTTCTAAGCATGCATGGACCTTTTGGAGTCTTTCTTGTGAGAGCATGTGAGATTTATTTTGTGTAATAGACCTGCTTCTCTTTGCTGTCCAGGTCAGTGCTAACTGTTGCTTGTGAACAAACAGANGGGGCCGCTGCGTGGAGCCGGCGAGGGACACGTTCCGGGCCATGACGAGGCTCTATGGTGCTATTCAACCCGCCGATTCGGTGTCCCCCATCACCCGCACCCACGGCGCTGTTTTCAACCTGGAGTACTCCCCTGGCGGGTAAGACGAAGGGAAGGGTTGCCCGGAGCCCGAAGAAGGGTCGCTTTTGGGTGTCTCGGCCTTCTCGTTTGTGTGGCTGCTTGCACACCGTAGGGTGCGAGGGATCTCAGTTTAGTTGCGGGTTTCGCAGCACGTTGTGCAGTTTTAACTGCAGGTGCATTGGTTGAATTGTGTCCACGCTTGCAAGGAAGCATTGTCCATTTTTATTCCTATACTTGGGTGTTTTTTTTTCTGGATTTAGTACATATAATAGATGTTGCATCTTTTTTTCCCACCCCGTGGGTGTTGTTTCTACATAAAGTTATGAGGAAATACTGTGATGGGGCAAGCAACTGCACAAGACTAGTGAAGTGTTTGCAAATAGGGAAATAGGAGTAGCAAGAAATAAATGAGAATGGATGTGTCACGTATCAGTCAGAAGCCTTTGGTGTAATGAGAAAAATATGTGGTTTATGTAGTTTATATCAAATCTCTCAAAATCATTAGAGCAGTTCCATTAATCTTCCCAAAATCATTAGAGCAGTTCCATTAATCTTCCGTCAACTAATGTTAATTTGTTGTGGTTTACAGCTTTGAGAGCTTTATGCAACGAAATTTCATTTTGAGGTATGCCGATTGGTGTACATTCAAAGTGACAATAAAGTTGTTGTTATTATTATTATTATTATTATTATTATTATTATTATTATTATTATTATTATTATTATTATTATTATTATTATTAAAGCTGTCACCTATAAACAGAAGCTTTTGCACCTTTTTATGTATGGTAACTCTGTTTCCTATCCTTAAGTTCTTTTTAAAGATGAATTTATGATTTAAATAGCATTTGCAAAGCTGAAGTGTATAACAAAAGGTCCACATTTTTAAAAGAAATATTCATGGCACTCATCATACTTGATAGGAATATTGCATTGTGCTGCTCCAAGGGAAAATGGCAACAATTTTTGTTGTATTAAATTTATTATAAGATCAAAGGAAACTAAAGTAGGAAAAGTGTAACTTCTGAATAATGATTTGTTGGCAATGGTGGTGCCTTTTAGTCAGTTTTTGACTCCTGATAACTGCCTGGAGAAGTCTTTGCAATTTTCTTGGCAAGATTTCAGAAGTGATTTGCTATTGCTATTGAAAGTATAATTTCTTCACAATCTCTGCTGCAAAAACAAATGACAGAAGAAGTAAGTATTCAGGTAGTCCTCAACATAAAGCAGTACATTTAGTGACCGTTTGAAGTTACAACAGCACTGAAAAAAGTGACTTATGACCATTTTTCACACTTAATGACAGTTGCAGCATCCCCATGGTCAAGTGATCAAAATTCAGATGCTTGGCAACTGACTCATAATTAAGATGGTTGCGGTGTCCCGGAGTCATATGATCCCCTTTTGCATCATTCTGACAAGTAAAGTTAATGGGGAAGCCAAGTTCACTTAACAACCGAGTTACTAACTTAACAACTGCAGTTATTTGCTTAACAATTGTGGCAAGAAAGGTTGTAAAATGGGGCAAAATTCACTTAACAAATGTCTTGAATAGCAACAGAAATTTTGGGTTCAATTGTGGTCGTAAGATAAGGACTATCAGCATTAAAGAATGTAAACTGGTGTTGTAGAATATAGCTTGGTTTAGCATAGCATGAAATCTATTTCTCAGAGACCCTCATTATTTAAAATACTGTAACAAGTTAGTCCCAAATTACTTTTTCATGTATGTCCAGATTGATTAATACCCTTTACACCAGACATATCAAACTCGTGACGTCACGTGACGTTGCGTAACGTATCAGGACGGTTTTGCCATTGCCAGCAATGGGTGGGCGCGGCTTCCGCGTGACGCGTCTGGCCTGTGGGCAGGCAGTTTGACACCCCTGCTTTACACTTTCTACTCGTTTTTGTCTTTTTGTTCTTTGAAGCATTGGATTAAGGTAATGCTAGTATATTTCATATAATACATTGCAACATTTTTTTTATTACAGGTGGTCCTCGACTTACAACAGTTAATTTAGTGACCACTTAAAGTTACAACGGCACTGAAAAAAGTGACGTATGAACATTTTCACACTTACGACTTTTCTAGCATCCCCATGGTCACATGATCAAAATTCAGATGCTTGGCAACTGATTCATACTTATGACTGTTGCTGTCTCCCAAGTCATGTGATCACCTTTTGCAACCTTTGAATAATCAAATTCATTGAGGAAGCCAGATTCCCTTAACAACTGTGTTACTAACTTATCAACTGTGGTGATTCACTTAACAACTGTGGCAAGAAAGGTTGTAAAATGGGGCAAAGCTCACTTAACAAATGTCTCATTTAACAACAGAAATTTCGGTTGTAAGTTGAGAACTACTGTATTTGCTTTCATAGTATTACTCTGTCGCTCAAAAACAAGTAGAGGGATATTTAGACATTCCATAAAGTTAATTAATAGTGCAATCTTACATGTGTGTTTGGAAATATCTCGCACTGTTCTTTATTCTCAGCTAAATATATGTTAGCTGTAGTCCAGATATGTGGAAAGTATTTGAAAGGGATACTTCTGCAAAGTGTCTTGGTGTGAGTGAAGCACTCCTCCTCAAAATGTAAACGTGGCTGCATACTTTGAAAGGCCCGTGCAATTGTTTCAGAGGCTAGTTGACTCTATATGCATGTCTATGCATGGGCAGTTCTTTTATTGCTCATGTTTTATCAACTATATGCCTCTTATAGGCTTAGATCTCTATTTGAAATAATAGCCCACTGGGGCCTGAGTGACAGATTATCCTATTTCTTCCTGGGCTCTAGAGCAGTGATGGCGAACCTTTTAGAGACCGAGTGCCCAAACTGCAACCCAAAACCCACTTATTTATCGCCGGGTGCCAGGTGGGCGTGGCCCACTAGATGGGCATGGCTGTGGTGGTCATGGCAGATTGGGTGGGTGACGCCTGTGGGGGGTGGGCAGGGTTGGGGGAGATCCAGGGGGTCTCTGGTAGGTGGAGCAGTAGGCAGGAGGCTCGTCCTGCAGGGTGAGGCATGGCAGGGTGGGGGTGCCATTGTCATGGGGCAAGGCAAGGGGCGGCGGCTGCCTGACACCATCGGCCTCCGCACATAGAGGCCAGTGAGCACATGGGGGCCGACGGTGTCTGTCAGCAGCCACAGCCTGCCGGCCTCTTGATCGGCACACTCTGGAGCTCCGCAGCCCGCCGCCAGCAGTTCAAAGAAGCCGCCTCTGAGATGGATGGCCGGCTGACAGCTGAGGAGGTGATGCAGTGGGTCGTGCCCGGGAAAAGGAGAGCATGCAAGGCCAGGAGGGACGGGATGGGAGGGAGGGAAAACAGCGGTGCCGGGATGCATCCGGCCACATGGGACCTTGGCTAGTTAGCAAGCGGCTGGTTGAAGAGGGACAGTTGCCATCTCCGGGGCATGGCGTGCGTGCCCACAGAGTGCCGCCTCTGGCACGCGTGCCATATGTTCACCACCACTGCTCTAGAGTGTACATTGTGAGCAGACCTGCTAAATTTATGGAAAAGATGTTTCAGCTTAGAAGCTGTTATATTGAACAGATTGGGATATCGTGTAAAAGCGATGTATTTATCCAAACATTGATGTTTCCTATTTAGCACATACCGTATGTATTTTTATATAGTATTTTCTTTTATCTATTTTTTCCTGGAAATATACGCTGTATTTTACTTTTATTTTTTTAATATGGTCTTACGGATAATCAATCAATAAACTTATCTTTGCATTGTCTACCCACTTTTATTGGGACCACCAGTAGTGCAGCCTTATTAAATAACTGCTATAGTACCTTAATAAGTCAGAGTCTTTCAAAAATGTAGCTAAAGCTCATAATTAAGTTTCAGCACTGAAAGTTCACAAACTGTATGACTTTCACACAGTAGACTGTAAAATCACTTGAAACAATATGTGAATGATTGCCTGGTATTCCTTAATGATAATAGTTGGATTGTTTCATTTTGTCAATAATTTATTTCTTAAGCCTGGAATAAGATGGCTGGTGGAAACCAAATTAATCCCTTTAGCAGTAGATCAGCAGTATGAAATCTTCTGTGTCAGTGCTTTGACACTACTAATTTGGCTTGATTCACACAGTGTTATTTTGTATTTCATGTTTGTTTAGCATGATATAGATGTACAATATTTTTATATTCAAATTCCATTTAAATTACCTTCTGGTAGAATGAGGGAACTATAAATGACTTAGTGATATCATTAAAATAGAAGAAGCTGAATTTCTCTCCACTCCACTTTGGTTTGTTTATTTTCCAGGTACAAAATCGGTGCATTAAACATTGCAGAGGCTTCACAGAACCATTTAACTTTTTTTCACAATCACCCCCCAAATACAAAAAACAAAAAACACAACCTTACACAGCTGAAAATCATCGGTGGATTGCAGTTGAGTTTCCCTTTGGGGGCATTTTGAGGATGCAGAGTGGGGCTGGAGACTGTGTGTATCCCATAAACACTGTTGTTTGTCCATGAATTCTGGCCTATTGATACATGACAGTGGCTTGTGAAATCATTGAGAAAACAGTACTTCAAGGTTCTCTGCTTTTTTTCTCCCTTGATGTCATACTTTAAGTTTAAGGGGCATTAAAGCAGGGGTGTCAAACTCGCAATGTCACGTGACATGTAGCGACATATCACGACTTTTTTTCCATTGCTGGCAATGGGGTTTTGGCATGACGCATCCAGTTGTTTGACACTCCTGCATTAAAGGTTACCACTTTGCATTTGGACCTAGAAGCCAGAAATCTAGGACTTGTTTTGTGTTTAATTTACAATTAGATCCTTTATTTCTCTGTGATATGAAGTCATTTTCAATCCCCCCCCAATACTATTTATATCAGGTAGGCAAGTCCCACCATGCATCCTCACATTTGTCTTTGGCAGAGTTCCCCAGGCTTGTCGTCCTCTTCTTTGTGGACACAGGGGCATTCTCCATCTAGTAAGCTTTCAGCAGTATAAATACTGTTGCATCCAATTCAGTATTTCTGGTGCCAATGTATTTCTGGTGATGTAAGATTCTATCCTTAATGGCAGTCCAGCATCTGAGGCTTCTCCCCTTTCCTGTAGGAAACATCCTCTACTTCTTATATTCCTAATCTTAGTTTCTGTTATCAATTAGCTAGCATTTCTTTGGATGGGTATGTGAGGAGCAAGCAAGAAGCCATAGGTAAATACAGACCGTCACAGACTACCTATCAAAAAATATTTTCATATACATATACGGTATATATACTCATACATACATACATACATACATACGTATGTGTGTGTGTGTATATGTATGTATGTATGTATGTATGTATGTATGTATGTATATGTGTGTGTATACACGCACACACACACACATATCAAGATAATTTTCCAATTGTCCTAATCCCTATTTGTTAAAAGGCCCTTATGGTTAAAAGCATCACTTTCAACAGGGTCCACAAATTTACTTGGAGCCTATGCAGCTAGTAAAGCATTAGCATATGTGTTTGAAGCAATTCCAGTTCTTAGTTTTGGAGCTTTATCTCCTGTGAGGGAGATGGGTGGTTTAAAAATGTGGTGGTGGTGGTGTGTGTGTGTGTGTGTGTGAGAGAGAGAGAGAGATCTTGAAACCACAGCAGTTTTTAAATCTTTCTAAAGGCAATCCTGTGTACAATACATAGTAGTCTTTCAAAAGTGAAGTTATAAGAATGGTTAAGACATCTCTGTACAGGTGTGGTTGCAGCTGCACATCAGCTAAAGTTCATAAAGGATGCTTCTAACCACAGAAGCTGTTGGAGTCTTTCTTTAATAGTAATGTTGTATCCTTAAGAATCACTAAATTACAATGGGGCTTAAAGGTTTGTGAATTTATTGACTCCTTTGTTTAATTAGGTTCTCTTTGGGTGCTGATTGGGCACCCATTCTGGTAGAGAGAAAGTTCCCTGAGGATGGGCTCCAACATGAGTCCAAAAGCTTGGAATATTAAATCTCTGGTTCCAGTGATCAACCTAGATTGGTCACTGGAATCAGAGATTTAGTATTCTGAGCTTGGAATTGATTGGAACATTATTATCCTGGGACACATATATTTGCCTTCATTTGTAGGTTCTCTTCATCTAGGTTTAAGACTTGTATGGAAAACAAATAACATTTTAGGTCATATTTAGCAATACACAACTAATGTATGCCTGCACTAGGCTCTCCCCATTCCTGAGGCACCCCAAATTCCACTTAACAACCTGCATATTTGTTTAACAAAGGCATCAGGCAGAGCAAGGATGGGGACCCTTTAACACCCTTTCAACTGGAATGAGCAGGCTCCATTATGCTTGTAACTTGATTACCTTCGTTTTCTAATAGTGCAGTGTAAGATCTGTTCCTAAATTATATGGATGCACATGCATCTTTTGCAGAATCAGGGAGGAAAACATTAAATCATGCCTTTGCTGTTAGATGTTTAAAAAGAAGGCTGCAATCTATACAATGCACCCTTATCCTTATTGGGTATGTGTGATCACACAAACAATGATCAGCTAAAGTAATTTTGTTGATTGGAGCTCAAATGTATATGGGAAATACATTAATTTAGCAGGTGCATTGTTTAATAAAGTACAATTATTCAAGGCTTGAAAATAAGGGAGGGAGGGAGGAAGGAAGGAAAGTTCTTTCTTTTCCTTGAATAGGAAATACATTCAAATAAAGACCAGATGATGGCCTAAATTATTGTTTCTTTGTGTGTAAATAGCCAATTACATTTTATCATCTTAGTAATTTCATTGATAAAATAGTAATCTCATTAATGAAATCACCTGTAAATCCCTACAGGGCATAGGACAAAGTTATTGTGAAACCTGTCTCCCATGGTTTCTACCCAGCTGGTAGGATTTAATTTAATTTATTTGATTTATATACTGCCCTTCTCCCGAAGGACTCAGGGCGGTGCACAGCATATTAAAAACAAGTAACAATAAAATACCAAAATAAAATAAATAAATACCAAAATAAAAACCCCTCTAAAACCAAATTAAAAGCCAAATATTAGTAGCTGTGTCGTAATTAAAATTATATTAAAATCATCCCTAACTAAAATCCTCACTAGGTCAGGCCCGCTTGCTGGAAAAGCCATGTCTTGAGGGCGCGGC